AACAGTTCTTGCACCTAAGCCTTTAGCTCCTTCATCTCCGCAGATGCCATGTAGTATGGTGTCGCGAAAATCGGCTCTGTTCGTGGAACCAAATAAATTGAGAATTCCACCTCCCTTGGTGGCGGCAAGCCAGGTAGGTCATCGGGAAATACATCACAGAAGTCACACACAGTAGAGATATCTTTCTGCTTGGGGTTTCTTTTCTGGTATCACGAACGTGACACAAGAATGCTTTGCACTTTTTTTGGATGAGTCCTTGCTTACATATACGACATGAACTTCGGAGGCTTAGGGAACAGCTCCCCTTTGACCTCCACGGCGTTGTCCATCGCCGCTCTTTAATTGTAGAGTGCACAGTCCGTAGTCAATTATTGCTTGGTGTTCGATCAGCCATTCCATACCAAGGAAAATGTAACTTGACTAGACTCGCGGACAGCCAATGTCCTTGAGCCATCAATGGACAATTGTGGTATAGATGGTGTAGTCACATATTGTGCCCTAATGGGTTAGATACCACCATTGGATACTCTAGATCGCCTCTTTGAATGTCATATTTCTCGGGTATAGGAATGCAGTGTATGATAACGTGGATCTTAGATCAATCAGTGCAAGCATAATAGTATCGAATAATGAAAACATACCTAGGATGGCATCGCGATCGAAACCCTTGGATGGTGTAGGTGTGTGTGGTAGTACGTCCCTGCTGACTGTTCTTGCCCTGGTTCTAACTCTGGCTTCTCTGCAGGTTCGAACCCACTATCGATCTCTAACTCTACTCAGGCCTCTGTCCGGATGTTTGCGTCTGAACTTCAGCTGTGGAGAAGGCCGGTCCTGGATTTGTAGGACAATCGTTACGGAAGTGCCCCACCTTCCCGCAACCTAAGCATAGGACCTGCGTGAACCAGCAGTCACCCAGATGATTCCTTTTACATAAGTTGCACACAGGGTGCCTCGAAGGTTTGTGCCAGTTACTCACTGGCTGTGACTAAGCCGGTGCAGACTTAGTCTTCTTGGAGTTCTGGATACCCTTGCTACCCCCAAACGGCCTCTTACTGCTCGATGCTGCACTGGTCGTCGATCGTGACTCGGTCTTGCCTCTCGAGCATTGAAGCTGGCCATGAGATCATCCACGTCTTTCTCTGCCTTTTCCATTAGCTCGTATGCCTTGGAGAAGTGAATGGTGGTCATTATGGATACATATGTTCGGACGCCAAGACGTAGTCTCTTCCGGAATTCTTCGTTCTGATCTGCTAGTGTGGATACCACCGAAGGTGTAAACGGAGTCAGGTGCTCAAAATTCTGTCGTAGCTCGGCAAGGGTAATGCTCCCTTGCTACAGCTTCATGAACTTTGTACGCTTTGCTTCCCAGAAGCGGCCGACATATAATCCTTCTTGAAGGCCCAATCAAAGTAGGCCACATCCACAGCTTCGGCATCTGCGGGTCACTGTTGGTGCGCTTCCACCATACATATGCCCCTTTCTAGAGCAGTTGAGACGCCAACTTCGGATGATCTCATATTGGGACATTTAAGTCATTCAACACTCGAGCTACCTGATCAATCCACCCAAGTGCCACATGCGGTTTAGCTAATCCATCTCCAAGGAACTCTTCAGCTCCGTTGTCCTTAATGGTTTTGAGCATGATCTAACGCGGCGGCGGTGTCGGAGGCGGCTGGAACATCGATGCATTTGCCATCTCTTGCAGAAATTGAGCCATGAGAAAGCAGGTATGGCAGCTTCAGGGTGGTTCCCGATGTTCTGATTATTGTCAGCGTTCAGTGGTACATTAGGCTGTCCAGCATTCTGTTAAGGCACGAAGTTAGATGCATCCGTTACGGCGTAAGCGTGCTCGCCTCCAAGCTGTTGGGTGTTGTCATGTGCGTGTGTTGATGTGTCACTCATTTTAAATTTCACAAATAAGTTATTAGTCACTCAACAACACATAACAAACAAAGCTATAAACTTATTACTTTCCCAGGATTGATGAGTCGCAAGAGATGTGGTGTAGCCTTTTGGAAACCATCTATTTGTGATCCGAAGATTGGTTTTAAAACCATATACTCCGATACAAAAATGTAACACCCCAACCCACATAATCCAAGTACTTAGATTTGTGAAATGGGTTGCTACTAAATTGGTACCCAAACACAACTTAATCTTCAAAACAATTCAATGTAATACTTCAAAATATAATTTACCATCCATCGGAGTAATAATCAAAACGTTGCGGAAGCTTAAGTCAATATTCAAAACACAACTTGGAAATCATGCCCGTAAAAGTAATAAGTTAATTAAGAAATAAACAGTAATTCAAAATCATCAAGAAATGCCATGCACATCTCTTCATCCACATTGCCCTCTGAAATTGGTTCCAAGTTCCTCATTCCCTGGATTACCTACGTGTAGCAAAAGAACAAATGCTACACGCTCAGCATCGAAGCTAAGTGAGAAATATCTAAGATACAGCTATACCCATAAACGACCTCACTAGCCCATATCATCATATGATATCATGCACATAAACATACATAACAACATCATAACATCTCACAAGATACAATCAAACAATGATATAAAAACTAAGTAATTATATTCCTTACTAAATAAATTTACTTTCTTTCTAAAACTTGGCCCTTAACCTATGTTAGGTTAAAGCTTAACTAATCTCAACTTGCCTATGGGAGTTATGACCTTCTCCTTCGGAATGGAGATCGAGCTCAAAACCAACTCGAGAGTTCCTCGTTTGGTGGGTGAGATCTCTCTCCCCTTCGAAATGACAGTTCATAGATCCCCATGCGCACGTTTTTACCGGATAGCCATTGGACCTAGCAGGTACCACATGGCTCTAAATTACTAAACTTATGACATACCTTGAAACTAATCCATTCCGGTCAATCCCTAGAGTTCTTCTAGGTGATACATTCAATATCCATTAACAATTCATAAATACAACATACGTACATCATCAAGGAATTATCAACACAACCAACATAATCAAGCAGCAACCTAACACTGGGTGTAGACACCGATGATTACCGTCATGCAACACGCAAAGTCTTGGAATTGATCCTCGATAAAAACGCAGACTAACAGAACCTGTTTAGGTACCTCACGGTACCCTTAATGGTATGTGGTACTGATTTGCAGTATAGAATGGGAAAAATAACTAAAAAGAACCCTTGTAAGTAGGGTGTCAAGCCTCAGGGAGACGTGAGTTAATTTAATTTAAACAAAATTTAACAAAAGAAGTTGTAAAAAGTTTTTGGTCTTTTTTATTGTTTTAGAGATAAAATAAAAAGTGAAAAAGGAGAGAATTCCAAATAACACAAAGTTTTTGATGATGAAAAGTTAGGGGTAGAAATTGGTAAATTAATTGTCCAATGTTTTTATATAAGTTGGATTGTCAATTTATTTTTATATAGAATGTGTGAGGTTGCAGAAAAGTATTTAGGGACGCTTTTGCAGGTTCACCTAAATAATAATTACTCTGACTTTAACACGCTAATGATAAATCCGGAGTAATTATGTAGTAACAACGGCAACCATAATTATTTTATTACTTGTATATAATTACCCAATTTAATGGTGTAAAAGTACAACTCAATAACTATGTCCACCCGAAAGTCTTCAATCCCGATTAAAGGTAGAGAAGGCTTACGATGTAGTTAAAAAGTGTTCTATTTTATGATTATATCAATTTTAGCTCAAATTCCCTTGAACAATTATGCTTATGATTGGGCCCTTAATAATCACAAAAATTCGAGTTTTATTTTTTTAATACAACATCTAAATAAAAATAAAAATCAACAATCAATGTTAAAAATATTTAAAAAATTAAGATAGACAATTAATTACACCAACTTCTAACCCCAAAGAGTTTTAGAAGTTCATGGTTTGAATTTTAAATAAACAAATATTTACTACAACCATGAAAATCTTACAAGAATTTAGAGATGTATTCTTGACTCCGAAAATGGACGATGGTGTTGATGATAATGAAAGATGATAATTTTTGGTGTTTGAATTATAGAAGATGAAGAAATTATAGAGAGAGAATGGGAGAATTCCGTGGAGTGGTGTGGGAGTATTTGGGTTATTGCCCAACCCTCAAGGAGAAGAGAAGAGGTGGGATTTTCTAGATTAATTCGTATATACGGAGTATATACAAACAGTAGCATAAAATGTCAAAACACCTCCTGTAGATCACATGGCCAGGCAGCTGATTGTCTTGCGAATCTTCCAACCATTTGCAATTTTGTCATTTTTCTTTCTCAATTCATGGGCCGAATTCGAAACATAAGATAGAATGTATCCGCCACGAATAAGGCGCAGAATATGTTGTGGCGCGATGGTCAAAGCTCCAATTCCACTCCTTGAAATCTAGGGTTTGAATCCCACATCCATTTTATTCGTTTTTAAATTTATTTATTCCTTTTCTTCAAATCTCTTCCATTTATTTTGGTCCGAACTTCCATGTTTATCTTCCGTTCTTTCATTTATTCTCAATGCATCCAAATGACCTTGAAATATCTGCAAAACATATACTCCGTAAAAACAAGCATATGATCGCTCTACCAAAATAATACGGAAAATTAAAATAAAATGTAAACATTAAATTCAATTGGGACTCAAAACTCATTCAAAATATGCTTAAAAAGTGCATAAAATATGTGCATATCTGGTACCAGCCCCATAATACGTGGGTACTGCCCCATAGTATGGGGGCTACCGTCCATAACAACTGTTGTATTCATCCGGTTGGTCTATTACGGTAGCCGCTATTGACGTGGTGGTAGCACCTTGAGCGTCTGTTAAGCATGTAGGTACCGTTTCATTTGACTCTATGCATCGCACAGATTAGAATACTAGTTGTAATAAAAAAACAGCATTATGTCAAGATTTCTACTCGTAGCATTTTTTTGAAAAAAACAAACTAACGAACACCCTTTTGTCAACTAAATAGTCAAAACTCCATTAATATGTACGAGTCCGGCTTATCAGCTTGGAATCTAGGGTTTCTCTGCTTCTGGAAACCTTCTTCGTTTGTCGCTCTGTTTGCATGATATCACTGCTATTCCTCGTATCCTAAGTATTCCATTTGACCCTTTAGTGCCACCAGCTCCTTAACGTCTAGATTTCTTGATTATTGATTTCAATTTTTTCGCTTCACACAGATTTCTTCTTCTTCTAGGAGTTAATGGACCAAATTGAGATTCATGTAGAAGATTCCGATGAAGTTGATGATTCTTGCAAGAACGCTTCAAGAATTTCAGGTAAGGCTGGGGAATTAAAGAGCTTGAAGGAAGATGTTTTCCAAAAGGCCAAGGATTTGGACTTGATTATTGATGTGTCCGGGAAAAGTTTCAACTTTCCTGTGCTGGAATGCTCTATAGACGAAATGGAGGGTCTGTATATGTACAAGAATACATTCAATTTGATTTCAAGTGCAAATGGAGGCCTAGAGAGGCTGAAGACGCTCAAATTCTTTGCCAATGATGTGAATTTGTTCCCGCCTGGGGAGTTAAAGAACTTGGTTGAGCTTGAGTGTTTGCAAGTGAAGGTGGCGATTCCAGGTTTAAGTGGGCTGGATCTCCAGGAGCTGAAGGGCTTGAAAGAACTTGAGCTATGTAAAGTACCCTCAAAGCCTTCAGCTTTTCCAATTTTTAGGGACATCACTGGCCTTAAACGGCTAACAAAGCTCTCTGTTTGCCATTTTTCCATTAGGTATGTGTTCTTTTTTCATTGGGTTTTTGTGAAGTGATTCAGAAATAATTGAAATTGATAGAAGTAGAACTTTATATTATCATTGGAACTAACTTATTCTACCTGAAGAATTGAAGTAGTGATAGGGTGGTAGCATTGGGTTTTTTTAATATAGATAATACGGATAATACTCTCATATTGAGATCCTCTCTATCAAGTGGGTAAGAGATATAATCAAGTTTCTTGGAAACTTGTTTTTGGTACTAGAACCTTTTTTTATTTGATAGAGGTGAACTAGTTCAGTAGAGTGTAGACATTAAAGATGCAGATTATCGGATTATCAGGATATATCTAGCTTACTACTCTGCAGATAATATGTGCAAAGTATCAGCTTTTCCATGAAGCCTTGGCAAATTATTTTTTTCCTTTTGTCAAAATACTTCAAGTGGTGATGGTTGCGCTGTGATTTTTCCACATTGTTTGGATAACGTTGTTTGAGAAATTTTGCATGCACTATTGTATGGTCAGTTAGTCATGCAGTAATATATCGAGTCGAGAAGTTATCTTGCCTTCTCGATGGCTTATCTGGATGCACAATCAACATTAAATTGAATGTGACTTGTGCTAGAGTTGTCCTAAATATGAATGGTTTGTGTGATGGAACTGGCGAAGGCAAGGGTTTTATTTGGAGAATTTATTCCATTTGGGAGTAGGGGAGATTCAACGTGATCCCGAACAGAGCTTTATAAATTGTAAAGAAAAAAATGTTACAGATAATTTAGGCTTTATTTTGTCCCATTACTCCCATAAACCGCATGTCTCCTATTGTTCCTGCTTCCCAGTCAAACACTTGAGATTAGCTCAGATAGTGTAATTTGTTCATTAGTGAAGTAGAAGTTAGTCAATGCTAATTTTGACACTCATCTGGAAACAGTTTCTCTATGTTTTAAACCTAGGTGTCAGGCTGCTTACATTCGACCCCTCCACCCCAATGGACGGGAACCTTTGAGGCACTGGGGTAATGTTGTTGTGTCATTTGTTCAATTTAAGGTAAAGTGGTAAATGACCGAGACATTCAGATCAGACCAAACAAAAAAGATTCAGACCCGATGCTATATTTCAAACAAGGAGATTAGACAAGACAAAAATATTCAAAGCATACTACATTGGACGAAAGATTTAAACAATCAAAGAGAACAGTTTCTTAGAAACAATCTGTTTTTATTTGGTAGTTATCTGTAGATGTTCATTATGATTATAATTTAGACTTTATAGTGGTTTGGGGATCATACAGCTTGATGTCAAGATCCTAAGATGTGGGTTCATTGGATAATGTAAGCTGGGTAGGAAGTTATATAAGCGGTCATGACAGCTTCAACTTATCTATTAATATACAGTTTGAATGCCTTAAAGGCTTTTTGCATAATTGTGTTTAGTTGCACCAGTATATACCAGTAGTATGTATCTTTCATGTTTCCAGACTCCAGAGAGAATTGTACTATATGATAAACACTTAATTGGTTTTTTGTTATGACACATTTTCTATTCTTCCGTCAACTTAAAAAATGTCTGGTCCAGAATATCTCAAAGATAACCTGTGTCAAGCAATGTTTTTTTTAACATTCGATGCTCACTTTGAAGTGTACTGCCTTTTTTTAGGTCTATATCCTTTTAATCAATTTGTAGAATGTCTGTAGAGAAGTTCATTGATCCTTAGTTTATTCTGTTTCTTGCAGGTTCCTCCCTCCAGAGATTGGCTATCTTGTCAATCTGGAGTTCCTAGATCTTTCATTCAATAAGATGAGGAGTTTACCAACTGAAATAACTTATCTCAATTCCTTATTGTCCCTGAAAGTTTCTAATAACAAATTGGCTGAAGTTCCTTCAGGCTTGTCTTCTCTACGAAGACTGGAACATTTGGATTTTTCTCACAACAGATTGACGTCCATGAGAAATCTTGAACTTGGTTTAATGCATAATCTTCAGAGACTCAATCTTCAGGTTTATAATAATGCAGAACTCGTTTATACTTTTAAATATCTACTTTAAGCTGCAGGCTCATTAAAATTTTATTGTGGTATGCATCTTATGGGCATTGTTGTGATTCGTTGCATATTAGGAAGCTATTTTCTTTGGTAAAATACACAATTTTTATTCGTTGTTGGATGGTTTTAAAACTTATGTCTGATTGCCTTTACCATTATGACTCTTTTATACAATTCATTTAGTGATTGAAAACTTATTCATATTCTTTTTAATACTTACACATTTATTCTTTGATTTTTTTCTGATTCTGTGATAGGATAATAGACTTCTCCAGCATTGCAATATACCCCCATGGATATGCTGTAATTTGGAGGGCAATTTCTTTGAAGACTCATTCTGCTCATCCACGGAAATGGATGTTCTTGAAGGTACTTTTGAAGAGACTCCTAGCGGTACCCAACAAGGTAATGTCTGTTGAAACACTATTTCACCCTTAATTCCCAAAGAATGTTATTTTTTAAAAAAATTGAGATACATCTGTAAGTTCTAATTTGATGGACTAGGCTCTTCTATTACATCATCCTCTCGTTCAACTGGCTCAGCAGCACATAATAGATGTTTTGGGCCACGAAATTCAAAGCGATGGAAACGACGACAGTATTTGCACCAGAGAGCACGCCAAGAAAGACTGAACAACATCAGGAAATGGAGAGTGGAAAACCAATGTACAATGCAACAAACTTCAAAAAATTGTGTTGATTGTGAGCATTCTGCATCTGCTACTGTGGGTACTGATAGTAGAAAAGATGAAGTGTCTTCTAATTCCGACAACCTCAACTCTCTTGCTGATTTTGATGATGATGATATTGACTTGAAGAAGGATATCTTTGAAAAATGTCCATGTGATAAGCCTAACTCCACTGTAATTTGCAATGTGGTGAAGGATAACACTATTGAAAGGGATACATTATTAGAATCTGTTTCAAGTGCTGACAATGCACAGGATGAAGTTTCATCTCCTGATGTTATTGATAGTCCTTCAAATTCAAAAAGGCATTTTGATGGATCTCTTGAAAATCCAAAACCAAGCAAAACTAGAAGGCCTACCAATCCTTCTTATTTGTCACAGAAATATAGTGATCTATCATTTTGTGGAATTGATGATCTCCTTCCTGATGGCTTTTATGATGCTGGGCGTGATCGACCTTTTATGCCACTGAGCATTTATGATCAAAATTTGCCACTTGGTTCACGTGAAGTTATTCTTGTTGACAGGTAGTACTGTAACTCCAGTTCTCATACTTGAGTACGTTTCATTTGGTCAATATATTTTTCTTTATGGATATTGTATAATTTTGATCAGGCAAAAAGATGAAGGTTTAGATTCCATACTACTGCGTGCCCAGGCATTAGTATATCATTTTACACAGATAAATGGTATGATCAAGGATAGAGGACATGCGGCCATTGATCACCTTCAAGTTGCATCATTACTTGCCCTTTTTGTGTCTGATCATTTTGGTGGGAGTGATAGGAGTGCTCTTATTCAGAAGACAAGGAAAGAGGTATCTGGTTCAAACTGCAGGAAGCCTTTTGTCTGCACATGCTCCACTGGAAATGCCGATGGTCTAAATAAGGTCACAGAGCAAAGTCTAAGCAATGTACAAGATACTTGTTTAAGTGATCTGTGTGAGAGATCTCTCCACTCTATTATGTCAAGGGAGAATTCTTCGGTTGTTCCAATTGGAAGCTTGAGGTTTGGCATTTGTAGGCACAGAGCATTACTTATGAAGGTATATTTTTTAGGAATGCTGCTATGGTATTTGCTGCAATTAATGATAACTTTGGACTGACATATTTTATTCTTTTCTCTAGTTTCTTTGTGACCGGATAGAGCCTCACATACCTTGTGAGCTTGTTAGGGGGTACTTGGACTTCTCTCGTCATGCATGGAATGCTATTATTATCGAAAGGGGTGGCAGACTGGTTAGGATGATAGTTGATGCATGCCACCCCCATGACATTAGAGAAGAAACAGATCCAGAATACTTTTGCAGGTTGTTTTTTAATAAGATCTGGTCCTCTCTCTTCTATCACACACTGGACTTATTTGTTTTGCATGGATCAATTATAATTATTGCCTAGCTGTGGGTATTCTATGGTTGTGCTTCAATTTCAAACTTGTAACTTCAATTTATATGCAATTCTGTTTCAACCCTAGAATCTAGTGGAGGCTAATTGAATTTTATTAGGAACATTCCATTATTAAATTTCTTAGACTATATTAGTGTTTATTCACGGAGTCTTATTACGGTTTTAGTTTATTTCAATTAATTGAGACTTCATAGTCCGCAAGGAGCCACTAATGGCTTTGCATCTCTGTGCTGTATTTTAGACTAGTGGGCAGTTATTTATAGGAGTAGTGGGCAGTTGGGCACTTGGCAGTTACTTGAGTCTATATATATGACTGCACTAGCAAAAATAGAAGTGAGGGACTGAAATATTTAGAGTTTTATTAATCAAGATTCTAGATTAAAAGAGGGTTGTGAAATTGTTCTACTTGTTTCAGTTTATGTTTTTAGTTTATAGTTTTGGGTTCCTACCAGATTCTGTATCGAATGCTATGTTGGAAGCATGGTAGGAGGGATATGGTAGACTCCCTAGAAAGAGCCTATGTAGGAAGTCAAGAGTTTCATCCGTTACTCAAACTAGTGCAAGACTTGAGTTAGTTGACATTGACAAAGTCTATGTAAGTAAACTATATTATTGATCATGGCATACTCCTATTTATAGTATTAATAATGTACTCAGTGAGAAAGTGAATAGAGTTCAAATATATTACATCGCTATTAGGAATATGATCAAAGATAAAAAAAATCAATACTGCAACGACAACCTACCATGTGTAATCCCACATTTGGAGTCTGGGGTAGGTGATGGGTGCACATCAACCTTGCCCTTACCTATCAATACTAATAGGGATTTATTAGATATAATAGGAAAGTAATACTTATATTAAGCAATACTCCGTCCATCCCTTTGTAATTTTGACACTGTTTGCATTGCTTGCCCATAGTTATTTTCAATCCAGTTTATTTAAATATTGGTGTGTAATTTTACGATAAAATTTATATGTTTAAAAACTTCATCAGAAGTTCTACAAAACTAGAAGTGACTTGACTGTTATCTCAACAAATGATAGGTGAAATATATAAACAAAGAAGATTTAGTTTTAGTAATTGTAAAGAATCCAGGGACACCGGGAGAGTACTAAATACCACTATCAATAACAACAATTCTCGATTGCCAAAGAAAAACCTAAACATGCCAATATCATTGCTTCTCTCGTTGGCTTCAATCTTGTCTTCAACTCTGAATGTTTGTAATCTCAATAGCCAATTTTTTCCTCGATTAAATGTCATTATTTAAAACCCATCGTTTATGAAACTTGTCCTTGTGTGATTTGATGGGTGCTGGCGTATGGTTCAAATATCATATTATGAACCAAGGTGTTGATCATTGGAGTGTGAGATACATCAAGATATAGTCAGCTTGCTGATCCCTCTTTGGAGGTTTTGAAGCAACCCAATTGTCAACCTTTAGTGTGGACGGAGAATCACATGCCTTGTTAGGTATCATAGGTGTGTCCTCAACCCATTGCCGCCTTCATGAATGTGTCCACAACAAAATGTGAAGGGCGGGGATTTTTAACGTAGGACCGCTTAGAATGTTCTTAAGCTGTGGATGCACCCAAACTGTGTATCCACACTTTCTGGAAGGAATTTTTGCAATGGATTAAGATTACCAGGATGGCTAGTACACTACAGAAATGGTACAGTAAGAGCTCAAGAAAATCAAACCCTAGCTCAGATAGAACCTGTATATCTGCAGTACAGCTGCATTACTCTATTGGATCTGGGCTGACAGGATCAAAAAGATTTTTCATAATGCTGACTATGATCCGAAGAGAGCATGGAGTAATATTCAAGATTCAAGAATGTGTTATTCACAAGTTTAGATACCTCTCTATTTGTAGTAGAATGGGAACCCAGGGAAAAAAGTAGAAGGAATTCAATGTATTTCTTTGGCATCATTAGAGGAGTAACCCTTGATGGCTCATGCTAATTAGCGGCTTTTGGTTGTACTTGTTTCTCCCAGTTTGGGAGCTTGCTTAATGATTACAACTTGCCTTTGTTAAAACAAACAACTAAGGATATCCCTAACCCTAGTAGGGATAGCCTAGACATGCCCATATCAAGCTATTTATATCTAGTAGTTCAACTAGTCTGAGTCCTGTCATTGCATCCCAAAGAGGAAATATCTGTATGACAGCACACAAAGCAAGATGTATATTGTCATATCTATATCTTAGTGTTTCAGGCTTTTCCCTGCTTTCAATTGCTGGCTTGAGTAGATTTTGTTTGATGTGAGCTTTATTGGTTTTTCTGAGTCTTTACTGCTTGGTACGAATCATTCTGTTGCAAGATCTTCGTTGTTACAGTATATTCTCATAATATTTCGTAGGTGAGTTTTTGATACAGAATGTATTGGATGTAAATCTTTGTATGCACATTATTTGCTGGGATCCATTATTGACTTTTACATCTATTTCAAGCCTTAAGATATTATTGTGTTGCTGATTTCTGTATGTTCTTTTTCCCTATATGTGTATTTGCATATACGAGAGTTAAGAGTTATCGTTTCTGACTGGCGTTACTTATTTCTAGGTATGTTCCATTGAGCCGGGTGAATTCTCCTCTTAAACCTGTTGCCCATTCTCCGCCAGGATCATTTCCTTCTCTATCTGCTTCGGATGAAATTGGGAAAGTTGCTTCTACAACCCTTATCCAATGTAAACTGGGATCACAAGAGTCTTTGGCGAAGGTTTTGTCTACTATTTTAGCATTTCCGTAGTTTTGGGATGTTTTTTTAAAACTATATTCAGATATTCTGTTTCTTTTGCACTTCTCTAGTGTGCTAGTGTAAAATGTTAATGTCACTGGCTCATTTATTAGTCTATGCTTTTGAGGTGGGGCACAATTTTTGACGATAATACCAGCCGGGTATATATGTAGTTGAAGGAATAATAATGTCATAGTTGCTTACTCCGAGGTTCTTCATTATTCGTCCTTCCATTAAGCAAATAATGATTTTTGCTGTGCTGGAAGTCGTAGCAGCTCATTTAGCATGTTTGAAGGGTCACATTATTGTCACACGTAGCCAATTGATTAATCCATTCACAGAGAGAATTGGATTTATTTGCAACCTTTTTTCAATTTTTTTGCAGGTGCGGACTCTGGAAGTACATGGATCATCCATCGATGAAATTCAGAATTTTGAGTTTAGTTGTGTAGGGGAAGTCAGGATGTTGGGTGTCCTGAAGCATCCCTGCATTGTAGAGATTTATGGTCATCAGATTTCTTCAAAGTGGAATTTGTCTGAAGATGGAAATATTAATTGCCGTCTTTTGCGGTCTGCCATTTTGATGGAACATGTTAAAGGAGGCTCATTAAAGGTGATATCCTCTCATGCAAATTTGTATGCCCTCTTACATATTTTTTATCTATGTTCTCATTTCCCTTTATGTCCACCATACATACTTCAGAGCTATTTAGAGAAAATTTCTGGGGCTGGTGAGAATCGTCTACCACTGGAACTGGCACTTTTCATTGCCAGAGATGTGGCATCTGCATTGAGAGAGCTGCATTCCAGACATATTATACACCGCGACATAAAAACTGAAAATGTTTTGATTGATTTGGACAAGAAGAGAGATGATGGTACACCTACAGTAAAGCTATGTGACTTTGATAGAGCAATCCCGCTTCACTCTTACTTGCACACTTGCTGCATTGCACACACTGGAATTCCTCCACCTGATGTTTGTGTTGGAACACCTCGTTGGATGTCTCCTGAGGTGTTTCGAGCAATGCACGAGCCCAACATGTATGGATTGGTAAGGTTTGCAGTTAATTTATGATTCATACTATATCTTTATGAGTGAGTTTTGTAGGGAGTGTTATTATGTCTTTTTAGATGCATTGAAAAAAGAATGAATTAAGACATAAATTATGTCTACATTCATTTAATTTTCAATGTATCTAAAAAGTCATAATGGTCTATTAATCATAGTTGTTAATGGCAAGTGGTGAGGGGCGGGGGAGAAGACCTTTTTTATGGCGAGAGGTAAGCTGTCAAATGGCGAACATATATATCTCTCTCTACATAGTACATGCATACATATGTGTGTGTGTGTGTGGAATAATTTGCATATATATGTAAAAGTAAAAGCGGGTAATGTTTGTTTAAGCGGGTAGTGTTTGTTTAAGTATAATTTGCTCTTGTTTCTTTTATGTTTAAGCATTTCTCAAAAGCCATAAGCAGTTTGTGTAGAGTTCAAAAACACTCTTATAATCTGCTTTCTTGTTGCTTTTGTAGGAAGCTGATATCTGGTCATTTGGTTGCCTCCTCTTGGAACTATTGACTCTTCAAGTTCCATATGCCGGATTGCCTGAATCGGATATTCAGACTTCTCTTCAGGTATACTTCTGTATGTTTTTCAACAGAGGGGTTCTAGAGCCACTCGTTTTCAGTGGTTGCGGATGACACCGGTCACCGGTTCTAATTGCAATACCTATGGTGCTTCCTTCCCTAAATTGGTGGTTCCTACTCCCCTAACCCTCCCGGTGAAACCCCCACCCCTGCTCGACCCGAACTCACCTCCCAACCACTTCAATTTTATCCCCCAATTTAGTTGGATTTAGTTGACTTTTGGGTTAAAAAAATTTATGCCAAAACCAACTAAATTTGGGGATGAAATTGATGGGGTTGAGAATGTATACCGCACACACGGCTGTACGTAGAGCCGGTATACCTGGCGAATGCTCATTTTGAATGAACAGAATATTCATTTTCAAGTGTAGTGTTCATTCTAAAATATTTTTTTAATTACAAGTTTGGCATGATGTACCAAGAGGAAGGAACATTTGGCTGTATCATATAATTTTCCTTCGGGTTGGGCCGGGGGGGGGGGGGGG